ACCACATCTCCCCTTCCGGAACAATCTCCAGGCCCCAAAGAAGAGATTTCTCTCTCCCTTGATGAGAAGGAGCGAAGGAGAAATGTCGTAACGGCGAAAACAATCGGCCACCGGCCACTGTGGAGGAGGCTCCATCCCTGGAGGCTTTCAAGAACGGGGACATTGATTTGTTTCGAGGTCTTATGTTTGAGCAGGGAGGGCGAACCTTTTCGGGACCGAGCGCCCAAACCGATATGCGTATGCATGCGTGTGCCTTTGCTCATGCCGGAGCGCCAGAAACATGAAGACCAGCGAGCTGGTGCATGCAGGCCTGGTTTGTTTTTGACTATTTTGGTGGCCATTTTCCGCCTTTGGCGGCCATTTTTAACCTTTGGCGGCCATTTTCAGCCTGCTTTTTTGAAAGTGTTTTTCGGGTTGCTTCGGTCATTTTGGGGGCTGTTTTCAGGGCATTTTCAGATGGAAAATGCCCCCCCCCAAATGGCCTGTTTTGAACCATTTTTCAGGTTGGCCATTTTGGGGGCTGTTTTCAGGGCATTTTCAGATGGAAAATGCCCCCCCAAATGGCCTGTTTTTAACCATTTTTCAGGTTGGCCATTTTGAGGGCTGTTTTCAGGGTATTTTCAGACTGAAAATGGCCCCCCAAATGGCCTGTTTTTAACCATTTTTCAGGTTGGCCATTTTGGGGGCTGTTTTCAGGGTATTTTCAGACTGAAAATGGCCCCCCAAATGGCCTGTTTTTAACCATTTTTTCAGGTTGGCCATTTTGGGGCTGTTTTTCAGGGCGTTTTGGGGGGCTGTTTTCAGGTTCATTTTTCGGGCTATTTTCTGGGTATTGTTCAGGCCATTTTTTCAGTCTGAAAATGGCTCAAAGAATGGCCTGTTTTTAAACCATTTTTGGGGTTGTCATTGGCCATTTTTCAGGGCATTTTCTAGGCCTTAAGCCTTGCCCTTCGCAACGCCAAGGAGGCCGTCGCGCGCGAGTGACGCCAACCCGAAAGCGCCTTAAGCCTTGCCCTTGGCAGCGCCAAGGAGGCCGTCGCGCACGAGTGACGCTAACCCGGAAGCGCCTTTTCTCTTCCGAGCGCCCAGCCGGGCCGTCGCGCGCGAGTGACGCCAGCCCGGAAGCGCGTCTGCCGTCTCCAAGGGCCCGGCGGCGGGTCGCGGGCGAGTGATGCTACCCGGAAGCGCCTTAAGCCTTGCCTTTCGCAGCCCCAAGGAGGTCGTCGCGCCCGAATGACGCCGAACCGGAAGCGCCTTAAGCCCTTAGCGCCCTTCCGAGCGCCCAGCCTGGCCGTCGCGCGCGAGTGACGCCAACCCGGAGGCGCGTTTTCCCTTGCATGCGCCAAGCCGGGCCGTCGCGCCCTAATGACGCAGCCCCGGAAGCGCCTTAGACCTTATCGCCCTTCAGTGCGCAAAGCCGGGCCGTCGCGCGCGAGTGACGCCGACCCGGAAACGCGTCGCCTTTCCCTGCGCCAAGTTGTCGCGCGCGAGTGACGTAACCCGGACGCGCCTTAAGCGTCGCCCTTCGCAGCGCGAAAGGAGGCAGTCGCGCCCGAGTGACGCCAACCCGGAAGCGCCTTAAGCCTCGCCCTTCGCAGCGCCAAAGGCGGCCGTCGCGCGCAAGTGACGCCAACCCGGAAACGCGTCGCCCTTCCGGGCGCCAAGCCGGGCCGTCGCTCGCGAGTGACGTTAACCCGGAAGCGCGTCGTTCTCTTCCCCCAGTTCCAGCGGCCTCTCCAAGTTCCCGGCGTCGCGTCGCGGGACAGTGACGCCATCGCGCCGCGACCCCGGAAGCGGGGCCCCAAGATGGCGCTGGTCGAAGGCATCGGGGACGAGGTGACGGCGCTGGCGGCGCTGGTGGCGGCGCTGGGGCTGCTGGGCCTGGCCTGGTTCTCCACGCGGACCGGGGAGCGCGGGGAGGCCGCCCTCCCGGAGGGGAGCCCCACCCGACGGGAGGCCCCGCCCCGCCCGGACCGGCGGCAAGAGGCGGAGGAGGAGGAAGAAGAGGAGGACGGAGGGGAAGAGGAGGAGGAGGAGGAGGAAGGCCCGGCGGGCTCCCCCTTCGTGCTCCGGCTCAAGTTCCTCAACGAGACGGAGCGGCTGGCCCGGGTGCGGCCCAGGGACACGGTGGGCGGCCTCAAGAGGTCAGGAGGGGGATGGGGATGG